GTAGCAATAAAGCATCAAGAAGACACATTTTAGATAGGAACAAAGATGCCCATCCCACAGAGCACACCAGAACCACCTTTTCCCAGGCTTAGCATTCACCCAGTACAGTATAATGAGAAGAAAATGGGACAATAACCACAGTCCAATTGGGTGTATTCCAGCCAAATACATGTGAACTATATTGCAGCAAAACTTCTAAGGATTTCAGCAAAAAAGGAGCTTCCTCTGTTGGAATACTAAACTGATATCTCCATAATTTGATTGAGGGATCTTAACTAGTTGAGGTAAAATCACAAAACAGTTTTGGTTTTGTAATAGAGGTATCAGTAGTGCTTTATCTATCATCCCCCACTCCAAGCACAATTCCTACTCTATATAGGCTTCTTTAACTGCATTTCTGTCTTTTCCTCCAACTTTTCAGTCACTATTGTTCATTATTTGTTTCTATCCATCCTAAAATGCTAATCTCACTTTTTTTTTCTTGGTACTTGGGATTGAACCCAGGAGTGCTCTACCACTAAGCTAAATCCCCAGTCACCCCTTTTTTAAAATTTTGAGACAGGGTCTTCTTAGTTGCTGAGGCTAGCCTTGAACTTGCAATCCTCCTACCTCATCATCCTGTAACTGGAATTTCAAACATGGGCCTCCACACCCCTGACCTAATCTCACTTTTGATTCATGGTTCTCCTCATCCCTCCAGGGCAGATTAGAACTGCATCTCCTTGGGTATGGAATATGTGTGTGGGAGAGAGCTGTTCTTTTGTTCAATATTTCACCACCTTCCCTGTGTCTGGTTTGAGGGTTTGAGAGTTTAGAGGAGGGGAATAAGAAAACATCCATTTACCTGAATATCTATGGAAAGATACCCCCATGAAATTAATTATCAATGAAGCTCAAGTTATAGACCTCACTGATTAGGGCTCACATGCAAGCTGCTTCCTGATGTTCAGTGGCATCTTGGGCCACATCTTGCTTATGTCTTCTAGATTATGATCCTCACGTGACATTCTTTTCATCTTACTCTGTAACAGTCTCTCAATAACTTTCCTTTCCCAAGCTCCAACTTTGGAGCCCACATGCATAGTAGGGTTTATTTTTCATACCTTTTCAGAATGGAGAATTTTGGAAGGAGGGAATCCTGGCTGTTTCCACGTCTGGCCACACCACCACGTTATTTTTTTACAGTGTTCTTTCTAGGCTCCTATAGCATCTAGGACGCTCAAATATCCCACTATTAAAGTAGATCCATCAGAGCTATGAGACACAAACCACATCATCTTGCAGATTTCCCTAAACTTTTTGGGATATTTCTTCTAAGTCTCCATTCCCTTGGCTTTGGGGAAAAAAGCCAATTGGACACTGTTAGCAGCACTGTGACAGGAGACAAGAATAAGGAATAGGTTCTTCTTCACTATTCTTCCCCAAATGTGAACTCAGTCTCTTTCCCATTATTATACACTAAATATTCCCAAACTCAGAATCTGACTTCTATCTAACTTGACCTTGAAAATTTTGTAGTTCTGTTCTCAACAGGTTTTATCTCTATCTCCAACTCCTCAGAAAATGCCAAGACCAGGAAAAGAGCTCACATCATTTTAGTAAACATAATAGCATTTCTCGGATAATTTTTATCTATCTTTAAAACATTTAGTTCATTATAAGCAAACTCCTATAAATTATAAATCTGATCTAGAGAAAAATATGCATATGTATGTTTTCATCCAAGAAAAGACAATGGCTTCAAACAAAAGACTTATTGAAGGTGGGTCAAAAGGACAATAGCAAGGCATGCATCCAAAGAAAACTAAAAATCCATTTACTAAATGTCATTTCAAACGGTTATATCACAATGACTTCTCTTCTTCCAGGGGATTCTTTCTAGGTAATTCCTAATTTTCATAAAAGCTTTTCTATTTGCTCTACATACAGTCCCTAAAATGAAAAGAAACCAATTAGCCTTAGTACTGGATACATTCATTCCACAAATATTCACTAATAATCTACTTTATACAAGAAACTCTATAAGTCACTAAGTATGCAAAGTAAAACAAAACAGATGTGATTTCAGTGCTTGTAGATTTTACAAATCGATCTACCTAGGGAAAGAATCATATCATTACCCTCCTTCAAATCTTGCTAGAAACCACCCAACAACAGTAAAAAATTATGAATCAACTTGAACTTTTGTGGTACTAGAGATTGAACCCAGGACTTTGTGCATGCTAGTCAAGTACCCTACCACTAAGATACACTCCCAGCCCCCACCCCTTTTTTTAGTATGGGGGATTGAACTCAGGGGCACTTGACCACTGAACCACATCCGCAGCCCTATTTTGCATTTTATTTAGAGACAGGGTCTCACTGAGTTGTTTAATGCTGAGGATATCTTTGAACTCACAATCTTACTGCCTCAGCCTCCCAAGCTGCTGGGATTACTGTTGTGTGCCACCATGTCCAGCATCCCCAGCCCTTTTTATTTTATTTTGAGACAGAGTCTTGCTAAAGTTTCCCAGGCTGGCCTCAAATTCGTGATCCTCCTTCCTCGGCCCCTGAATAGCTGAGATTATAGGCATGTGGCTATGAGTCAACACTTATTGACAATTTACTAGGTTCTGTGGTAAATTCTTGATTAGTGTACTTATATTCTCCTAATAATTCTTAGTTCACAGAGGAAGCACAGAGACTTGATAAGTACTTGACTCAAAGTAACACATCACGTAATCCCTAGACTGCATTTGAATCCAAGCTTGTTTGATACTATAGCCAGTTCCTAATCTGAATCCTTTCAGACAATATCATTAATACAACAATCTAAATGATGTTAAATAACCTAAATGTGGCCTAAGGATGCCTCCCCACTTGAGCCTTTACATAACAAACTGCAGTCTAACTTATTAAAACAATTAAATGGAAGCTTAATTTAGGGGTAATCTTTTTTTAAACATATAGCTGAGTCTCAGCCAATCACAGCATCTCAACTTCAGTCAACAGCAGAAGACCAATTGTACAAACCATGTTCAAATAAGGCAAAGATCAAGCTGTAACTAATTAAGCTGTCTCTGTACCTCACCTCTGTTTTCTGTACATTTCCATTGTTTGCTCATAAAATGCTGCCTGACCTTGTTGAAGACCAGAGTTTCTTGGCTCAAACTCTGCTAAATTTAATTTGTCTAAAGTTTAAAAAAAAAAAATTAAGAGTTGTTAACTGTGAGACATAATCCTGGAATCTCCAATTTTTTTAAAAAAAAACAATTATTGGATGTGATTTTGTAACTTGAGCTTTTGGAGCTATATATTAATATGTCTATGTATCTCTAAAATCATCCAGAACCTGAAACTATGCACCACGCCTATATACTTCCTTTCTTCAATGTTCCACTTAGTTTGTCAGGGTAGAGATTATTCAGGAGTTTGGGGCCAAAACTAGAGGCAGTCACCATCTGGTCTGTTTTATCTCAGTGATGTACACAATGCTTTGTTTCCTTTATTATAAACAATAAGTAGTATAACTTTTATAACATTACTGCTTTCCTAAAGATCTCTATTTGCCAGTGAGACAATCTTTTTAAAAAGTAATTTCAAGTTTGAAAACAGAAACATTTGCACTCAGAGTGAATTTAAATCTCAAATTTACTTGCCTCACCAATATGCTGCTTATTTCTAATATTTTTGAAACATTTGCACCAAAAGGTAGAAGACTAATTTCCACGTGTATATACTTAAATTCAGAGCTCATTGTAAGAAAATATTTGTTGGGGTGGTTTGGAAGGTTTGGAAAGGAAAGCAGGGAATAAAAAGGCTCCTTTTCTATGATGACTGTGGAATCAAAAACATCACATAAAATTACATAAAATGGTCAAGATTTAAACTGGAATTTTCTCTGAAGATTTACTTTAGATCATTTTCAAAACATTAACCATATTCAGGAAGAGTCCCCCGTTTTTAAAAATAAATTTTTGAAACAGGGTAGTACAATGTGTTTCAAAAGTAGTGTTGATGTTATGCAGAGCCTAGAGAAAATATTTTCTGTATTGTACTGGTCAACATAAACAATGAGTTTTTTCATTCTGCAGGATGAGGCATTTCTTTGAAAAGTGAAAACTCATAATCCCTAATTTTCTGAGGTGTGCTTTTCTTTCTTTCTTTTTTTTTTTTTAAGGAAAGAAATACACGTAGCTCATTCGTCCTCAAGGTGTATGCACAGGGGGATGGGGAGCAGGGAAAAGCACGTAGCTAAGGAGACTGGAGAAAAGGCAGAAAAGGCTAAACCAAGACCCGAGGTGGGAGGGGGCGGTGGAGGATGAGACAGATCCTCCCTAGTAACCAGAAAAGGGCCAACTCCAACCACAAGATGGTGATGCCACTTGTGGGGCCTCAGATTGGAGAGCACCGAGATGAGTGACAAGCAGTATGCACCCAAGGCACTGCTCAGACAGGCGGTGTGTGTGGGGTGCTGTGTGTGCGTATGCATGTGGCAGGG